ACAGGTGTGGGGATGTTTTTCTGATTGGTCATTGGTCAAACTGCTGACACGTTTTGATTCGTGCAGCTTCGTGACGCTACAGAACCCGAGTTAAACCCAGAAGCTGTTGTGACTTTGTGATGCGGACTTCAGGCTCTGCTGCTGTGGACTAGAGGTTTAAAACAAGTGGCAAGAAACACAGAAACTAAAACATCATTGTCTCAAAGAAAACATCCAGCAGTTAATTCTACATCACAGATACAGTGACCCTCTGACTAGGAGACCTAAAGATAAAGCGTTTCACCCTCTTTGCTCTTCAGAAACTTTCAAACTACCAGCGAGATTTAATTCAAACTTCCAGGTTAAAAATGGGGAGAAACAAACCTTCCAACAGACGTCACATCCTGGTTCAGTATAAGGCAATCCGATCCTGTAGGTGAGGTTTGCATCGTTTCGTTTCAGGTCGTTGAACTCTGTGGTTGTCGTTATGGCTGTGGTCTGTGGAGTCGTATCGGACTGCGTTATACTGGACGCTGTTTCTCTCGTGTTCCTTTAACCGTCCACGTGACTACCTCAAGTTTTCAAAGTGCAAAAACAAAAACACGTTCCCTGAACTTTTTTGACGCAGAAAGATTAATTTAATTTCACAGATTGCTTGTAGAAAATATACCTGACACGCTTTTTTTTTTTTTCTTCTTTCTTTTGTGAATTCAAATACTCACGACTCTGTTCACGCTCTCTTAGGAAACGTCTGACGGGAAGCCGCTCGGTGGCGGCGCCTCATGTTTGGTTGTGTTTGTCTGAGCAGAACAAATCCAGATGCGAAACATTTCTGAAATAACTGATCCACTTCCAAGGAGAAGGAGCAGCGAGGGAGGCGGAGCGACGGCAGAACCCTGATTGGTCAGAGGAGGGCGCCATCACCCAGAGAGAGAGAGAGACAAAGAGAGAGTAGAGAGAGTAGAGAGAGAGAGAGAGGGGAGAAGGGGGGAGTCTATTCCCTGAAACTTAAACTGCCAACCAGCTCTGACTCGGCACAACTGTTGGCCTCTCTGCTCTGCTTTGCTTGGGGTTGTGACAAATGAAATAAACTAAGTGTGCCAGACCTCATGAGAGGGATTCACCCGCTCAGAGCTCCAGAGCCACACTGCATGCAGAAGGAGGTTAGACGGGGAGGATGATCGCAGTGCAGATTGCATAGAATTAACAGTTTGAACGTCTCTCAGGAGCCTTTAGCAGCTTCGCTCCTGCAGCATGTAACCTACGCATCGGCCCGGGAGCCTCCCCCTGCTTCCAAACCACCACAGCGGCTGTGACGTGACGGTGACATGTCCAGAGTCTCATAAATAAAAAGCTGTGAGGAGGAGGAGGAGGAGGAGGAGGAGGAGGAGGAAGACGACGACGGCGACGTGCACGGCTGAGAGTGAGTGTGTTGTGGCGAGTGTTAGCAGCATGCTAGGCTACCGTGGGTGAGCTCTACAGCGCAGCCAGCTGTTTGCAGGGCGTCACGGCTCCGGTCCGGCCTCGGATCATCCGCTCAGAGGGTGCAGGTCCACCTTCACCTTCTCGCCGCTGCTCAGCATCCCCACGGTGGGGTAGAGACCCCCGGGAGGGATCACCATCTCCCTGCGGCCCATCAGCTTCCCGTTCCTGGTGAAAAACACCTGCATGACCACAGGGGGGCGACAGCGAGTTAGAGCGGGCTCCTGAATGATGGAGCATCCCGGTGATTAGCTGTGAAAGAAAGGTTTCCTCATGAAGACCGATAGAAACTTTATTGGAGAGCGCTCGGCGTGCCAGAAATCATGCGCAGTTAGGAAATATCGTTAAACAAACGGGCGACAGCGCACCGCCTGTGTTCTGCAGGGGGAAAAAAAAGTCAATGTTTACAGTACATGTCTCTACTAAATCAGCGAGTGATCAAACATTATCCAGCTGTTCTCAAAAGAACATCAACAAGCTTTTCAATGCTAATACCGAGGGCTTCTTTCCAAGTCTGAGAGCAAACACCGACACACTAAAACAACAAGTGAAGTACTGTTGAGTGTGCGTCTTCAATAAATCAGGCTGAGTCACATATCAAACATTTACTGTACCACCCACTCTAGAAAGAAAGACTTAACCTATTTAATTACACATGAAGGCTGAGTGGCCGAGCGCTGGAACGTCAAGGAGCGGCGCATTCAGACTAATGCATCCTGCTGAGTAAATATTGACAAATCCCTGGATTACGTCCCGGCCTGTTTCTATTCTCACCCACTTTGGGTTTCGCTCGCTCACACCCGCCCGGTGACCCTCCGGACGGCGAAACCCCGGAGGCGAGTTAACCCTGCGAGTCGGGACAAAGTGGAAATTAAAACAACAACAATAAGAGGAGAAAACAACAGCTGGAGCGGTTCGGTGATTAGAGGGGATGCACACGACGACGGCGGGCGTGGCGGGAACGGACACGCGTGACGACTGAAGCACGAAGCGAACACGGAGCCGACGGGAAGGTAATCGAGACGCTGCGGCTTGAGAAGGTGCCAGAAAAATAAACTGTTTCAAGGATCCTTATGGAGGTTTTTTAACTGTTGGGCGACACGACATGAAGCGAACATTTCCTGAGCAGCAAGTCTTTGGTTTGATTCCCAGTTATCTCTTCACCACCACTGTGACAGAAAGAACAGACGAGCCCAAAAACATCATCCTAACGAATAAAAGTGAAACAAGAAACGCAGCATCGTGCCAACAGAGAACATCAGTATCATCAATGCAGGTTGCAAATGGAAAAAAAATAATGAAAAAGGTTTCGCAAATGTCTAAAGAGGAACAAAATACATGTTTGTTTGTTGTTTCTTTTAGGCCTCATGGATACAAATACCATTTTTTTTAGAGCAAATTTTACTGAATCTCAACAGAAATTTGCTTCCTTTGCAAGAAACCTGCCACATTTTTAGCTGTGAAATCTACTGTAATACAATCCGAATCTTTTTTATTTTTATAGACGAATTTGACTTTTGGTGCAAAACGTTCAATGCAGAAAATAAAAAGATTAAAAAAACAGGACTACAAGACAAGATGCAAATAAAAAGTAACACACAGCTCAGTAGCACAAGTACTCTGACGAATCGTCTACATT